CCTGCAATATACATATGTTTATTCTTCATTCCTTATTCATCCTCTACATAAAGTCTTGCTTAAAGAGAAAACAAAAGCTTCTTCATAAATACATATTTTTGCTGCTTAAAAGGCAACTTGCTCCCCATTTAAGATATAGCCATTTAGCATTTCCATCATCACCAACGATTTCAACGTTCAACGCCATCAGTTGTAGCTGGCGATGTCGCCTTCGCGCGTCATCGCGGCTGCTGTCGTGACCGCTGTCGCCAGTGATCTTGATCGCTATGTGTGTGCCCTTGCGTCTGATGTTGGCCGTGTGTCAGCCTTGTGTGCTGAATTCTCAGCGCAAGGAGTTCAGGTAAGTGTGGTAATTACACCAATGCAGCCAAGTATTTTCCACAAAGCAGTTTTGAATTCGTTTTTACTTCACTGGCAGGCAAAAGTTATATGCGTTGTTTATGAAATACTGGACAATGAAATTTAGTGGTAGTGTGTGAACAAAAAAAGAAAACTTTAAAAACAAAAAAATAACAAAATATTTTTACGAGATATTCAATATTTTTTCGAAATTGTATAAAAGTCGGGTCACAGTTTAGGCATACATTCGATTGGAGGGAATTTTATTTATCTTTAAATGCGACGCTTCATTAGAAAAATGGTCTTAGGTCTCATATTGGCATGGTCAATCACAGACTTTAATCCCATTAGTAGATAGCGACTATTTGAATAACTTTCTCCCCAAAGCTGCACATAAGGCAGTCAGTGACTCAGAAAACTGGGCTTGAAATCGTAATCTGGTAGCAGCCGTAGCTGCGAGTGGACAATCTATTCGACGCCGTTCGCTGACGTATGGAACGGCTTGGCGCTTTTATGACGAGATCTTAAATTAAAAGCCTACAAAATACAACTTGTGTAAGAACTGAAGCCAGTCGACCTTCCTAAGCGACATCACTTCGCTCTATGGGCTCTTGAAAAGTTCCAAGAAAATTTTGTTCAGCGATGATGCCCGTTTCTGGCTCGAAGAGGTATGTAAACAAGCAGAATTACCGTATTTGGGACGAATAATAATTCGAAGGAATCAAGGTTTGGTTTGCTTTGTGGGCCCGTGGAATCATCGGTCTATACTTCTTAAAAATTATGCCGGTAAGAACCTAACCATCAATGTCGATCGTTATCGCGTTATAATAAACGACTATTTTATGTATGAAATAGAAGTTCGTGATTTCGGCGATATTTGGTTTCAAGGGCGGCGACACTTCCCACATATCACATCAATCAGTGGATTTATTGAGTGAACTCTTCGGTGAGCAGATAGTTTCACGTTTTGGGCCGGTCGACAGGCCTGTGGAGATATGTAAAGTTTAAATTTGAAGTTTCTATGTTTTTTCTTTAAAAGAGTAGGAAACCTCGAAATGGCCTCGCGTATTGGTAATTTCACAGATAGGCTGCAAGGTAGATAGAAGTGCAGCACCTTCGAACTCAATTTGCGCTTGAAGTGCCAGATAGACATTCAAATTTTAGTGCCTAATGGATTTCGAAAGTTGCGTCTAGTGGGGCGCATAACTTAACCAACTAGTCTGCTATTTTGTTGCCTACCGAGAACCGAAATTATATAAAAAATACTACTGCGCAGTGACTTAGGATGTAAGCAGCACTGAAAAAGCCTTGCTGAAGTGGAAAACACTAATAAAACTAAATCTGTCTCCCTTACGACTTCAAGGTCAAGTGTATTTAAAGTAATATGAGAAGTATGAACTTGAAAAACTGAATGAATGCATTTGCAAATTAAAACAAATAAGAGAGGTTAGGTACTTAGCAGTAAACGGAGAGTAAAATCAAACACACATTAATCACTTGTCACTTTCAAAACTGGCTAATGTTTCCTAGGGGACAAGTGTTTACTATGTGAAAACCTTATTGCTAACTTTCTGATAAAACTGTTTGGCGGAGGTCTAGAGCTGCCAAATTTCTTCACCATCGCTAGACTAGCTAAACTTCATCTGATAAATACAGGGACCTATTTTTCGTCTGCAATTGTTATTAATAACTGCTAAAAGGGTGACGAAAACTTCTTGGGAAGGCTAATCGACTGGAAATCTCAATCGTTTATTAATTGAAATTAATCAGAACAATAATTTTCTTACAAACCCAGGCACACTTTGGGAGAGATTTTCCTAGCTGGTGTTTTAAATGTTAAGCCTTTCAATTATATCCGCCGAACTACGCCTATTCCGCTCTTCAGTTCTCACCCATCGATCTAATTGACATAATGGCTTATTGTTGAATTGTCATGCAGTTGCGGAGCACTCTTATTTCAATTGCCGTATAGAATGGCTTTGGCGGGCAATTAGATAGTGGAATGCCTGCTCGAAGGATTGTGAGCGTGTGTAGTTCAACGAAAGGTACACACGTAGAGCTTGTGCCTTGTGGAGGAGCTGGTAAACTACCATTTACCGGCCGTCAGCATGCCAGATCTACGGAGGGCATTCAGGCACTCATGCGACAAATGCAATGAACAGATGAATAGCTAAATCGACAAGCTGACAGGCGTACAAACTGACGTGAGATGCAAACAAACACGCAAACAATATGATGGATGACTGCAGGTCCGTCCAACTATCCGAACTGCCAGCTTCAATACTAGAAAAATGCAAGCCCTTGCCGCCGCGCGTTTGTTTATCTTTTCGACTGTGCGACAAGCGCGACTTCGTTGGTGGAATTGTAGGCTGAGAGGCTGCCTTGTCGGCTGCTGAACGGCAGTCGGCCGGTCGGTCGATTGTTGCGATGGATGAATGGCAGGTTTTTGATGTTGTAATGGTGGAAAATTGATTTTTCGTTGGAAATAGAAATTTACTTAAATTATTGCTTGTTGGCCAGCTTAATTGGATATTTTAATGAGGTTTTACCTTTTTCGATGTTTCATTTTTATACGCTCAACATTTCGGTGTACGAGTCGCCGAGGCTTGTCTAATGTCGGATGTACAGACACAGAGCAAGTGAGTGATGTGAATGGAGCGACAGTGAGGGTGGACGTGATTGCGGCAACGCCATTGACAAAGCAACAAGCGACAATCGCGCCGAGTTCGAGCTCAGGCCGCCGAATCAGTTTTCGGTGTTTGGGCGTTAAAAATGCGCATTTTTGTTGTAGTTATATTAAGTTGTGTTCGTTTTTTTGTTTTTCGTTTGTTAATTTTTCATTTTATGTTTACAAATATTATGGAAATTCATGTGCCCATAAACATGTTGCCGAACACAAATTGGCTTACGAGCTGATGATTTGCTAAAAATGTAATAAATCAAACCTAATTGATTTTGACGACATCGCATGCGATGTACTGTTATTTAGTATGCAAATTAGTGCTTGCTGTCAACTTTATATTTATTTGAGTTTTAATTTTAAGCATTAAGAATAAATTAGCGCAGTTAAATCACCTCATTAGCATCGTGCCGGAGACATAGTTTTATAAGCCAAAATTAACTCGAAGACCAAAATACAGTTATTTTTATTATCACACACACATAGATTTGTGTGTTTTTAGAAAGTGAGATTTCTATGTTTATATTAAGTTACAAAATGTGTGATTTCTCACATATTCTCTTTTACAGAGCTCGGCAAGCAGCTTAGAAAGCGAAGAAAAGGTATTACGAACCATCTTCGGAAAGATACGAAGTTGCCATTTGCGTGGACAGTCAGTCAGACAGTCTGGCAGCAAACAGCACCTTCTCGCTAGTTGAGCAATTAACTCCATAACATACGGTCAGGAAATGCAATAGGAACTCTATCTTAAAGCGAATGATATGAAATATTTGTTAAAATCTCGAACAACCACAACCACCACTTTTCACAAATAAAACTAAGGTGAATCACAGTTTAACAAAGAATAAGAATAATATTACTGTATGCGAGTCACAAAAAAAGTTCGCTTAGGCCATAGGATTCGTAAAGGATGGATCTCACATAGACAAATGTTTGTCATTTTAGTTACGCATAACGTGGATCACCAAACGACATATTTCAAACTCAGTCTGGCAAAAGCCGGATAGTGGAGAAGAAAGTGAGAACGCGTGTGAACCTATTGGACATTGTGCAGTCAGAAAAACTAAGGAAACTTGACTATAAGCAAATAGTTCAGAGAACCACACTCTGGGCCAGAAGTATCTCACGCCATACAAGTTCCAGTTCCAATCGGATGAAATTGAGATATTAGTTTTTTGCTATAATCGCGTAAGCGGTATCTGCGCTAATAAAGAAGAGAAGAACTTCGAAACTGTTAAATTTTTTTTTCTGTGATTGAGTAGTACTTGCCTCTCCTGACGCGACTAATATCACAATATATTATATATAGGGATTGAGCTCTCTCAGAGGAGAAACCTATAATTATGTATTCAAATAGGTATTTTTTAGTTTTTGAAATATTCAACTTTTACGAGTATATTCGATTTTCATATAAAAACATAATGCTGTAAATTTTATTTAATTAGTTATTTCGCAGTAACTGATGTGCGTGTTCGTTTTGCTGAAAATTTGGTACTGGTATAACTGGCCTAAGTTGAGTAGTAAACCATTAGCCACTTTAATGTGGTATCTGCAAATTAGCTGGCATTGAATTCAACGATATACCTTCGCCTTCTCGTACAAATATTTGGACAAGAGAGCAGCGCTCGGGCTTAATGAGCGGCTAAGTTGAAGACTTAATTCACATAAGTATATATTTTATGACACAGAATGTCCTTGTAACAGATTTCAGCAGAGCACAGCATTCTTGCCGAAAAGTCGATAATCAAGCAATCAATTTAGTGTTAGTAATACCTTTGCTAAATTAATCAGCTTAAATTGCACAAGTGCAACTTCAGTTTTCGCGCGAACCGAGCCAATGAGCTAATAGCCTTGGTGTACTACGCCGTGGTCGCTCAAATCTTGACTTCACGCGCGCACGCACAACATCTGGTGTGCTAAGTACACATACATACATATGTATATAGTACATAGTCAAATGTCTACTTTCAATGTCACTCACCTTATTTCCATGATCCAAAGCAGAAATATTAAGAGCTTGTTACGATTTTTCCACATTTCTTCGCAGCGTTTTTGTGTGTGCGTCTGGCAATCGCATCGTATCACTACACATAAACACAACAACAACCACGGCACTGACGTACTCCGCGCTCACTCAATTCATGGGCACTTTTTCAGCAAATTTTAAATTATTTTCTTATGTAAAATGGAATATATTCGTAAGCGCTTATGATTTTTATATTATTACTTTAAGCATATAGTACTCGTGTGTTGATAGCCTGCGAATGTGAAATTGCTAAACGCTTCGGATTTCACAGTTTGGCGTTTGGGTGTTGAATGGCGGCGTTAAGCTGGGCATTCGGACGCTAATTGGAGTGGCTGGCCCGCTGTTGTTGCGTTGATTGCGCGCACAAGGAAATACTGCTTGTTATTCGCTGGTCGTTGGTGTTGTTGTTGTTGCAAATATTGCTGGTAAAATTGGAAGTTGTTAGAATTCACGCACAGCACATGGGCAGCAAGCAATGCTCGCAAGATTCATGCGTGAAATTCGCAGCAACAGCTGTTGTACAAAAAAACCTACAATAACAACAAAAGTTGTGTGTTCGTAGTTGTCCGCGTCCGGTAAGGTGCGAGATTCGTTGCTGATTATATTTGCGCTTTACGTTTTTGTTTTTATTTTTATTTCTGCACCTGCAGCTTCAGTATATCAGTTCGCTATCGCGGCGCTTGGGTTGCACTTTAAACGGCAACAGTATTAGTTATTTATGTGGAAGCGTTTAAGTGCTGGATTTTTGTTGGAAATTGCACGCGTGTGTCTTCTTACAAATTGTTTATGTGCTCATATCAAATGTGGCTTGATATATGCCTGTTTCTTTGTATTTTGACTATGTGCGGTAGGTGTGTGCATTTATAACTGTAAATTATCAATATTTTTAAGAATTATTGTTTTAGTAGAAAAACTTGTTTGTTATTATTATATTTTTACCTTTAACAACATTGCCTATAAATGACATTATATTTTCAAATAAGCACTCAGGCACTTGGCTTATGATCTCAAGCTACTTCTAAACTTTTCCAAAAAAAAAAAAACTAATTAAATGTAATGTCAAAATATAAAAACAGTTCCGTGCTAACAAAAAATTCTTTAAAAAACATTACAAAAAGGCAAGCAGCTTTTATACTCATCATAGATATACATATGTAGTTCAGTATGTATGGCAGCTATATTTTTAGGGCCTCGAGCAATGGATTGCCTTGGGAGATTGCATGGTTTACTTGATTAGCAACTCTTGCTAAATTTTGTGAAGATATCTAATTAATCTAAGTACTAAAACTGATTTTCCATACAAAGACTTGAAGAAGATTGGTCAGTTTGTATGGCCACTCTCTGCTATAGTTGTGCGATATCGGCGATTTCGACAACCGAGCAGTACCTTCGAAAGGAAGGGTGTGTGAACCTGGCTAAATCGACTCAGCTAGCCACGCTGTTCATTTATATATAGCCTTTTAAGTAAGATTTTTCGGCGTAAGTAAGTTAAGTTTTAGTAATACAGGTCTTCAGATAAATCTTTTTAAAAAGTCTAAAAATAACCTTTATATAAGAGAAAATTTATATTGAATTGAATGACTAGAGCAGCTATAGCACAAAATTATTTAAATATAGAAGACGTTAATTTCGTGCCATTGCTGTTTTTGGATTGCGTTTGACACAAAAACACTTTTGCGCGACGTCATAAATAGAAGGAGGGGAGGACTTCCCTTACAAATACTGTATTTATACTTATAACATATCTTGTTAATTACAATAATACTATTTGATCCTAAAAGTTTGCATAGCCGGAAGATTATTTAGATCTTCGAATCAATCATAATAGAGAGCTGAAAGATTAGGGGGTTAAAATGTTTTGCACCATATACGGTGACGGCTTTAAGCTTGCCTTTTTATCGGTTTCGTATCAATTCTACGACCCCTTATATATGACCGGCTTATGTACCGAGAACGTTTAAATAACCACAATTTTGAATCTTAGTGCTTGCATCGAAGGACTTAAGTGGGCTCTTTTAAGTAAAAACCCCGCTTTAAATATCTCAAAAAGCTTAAATTTTAGGTGAGGCATTTAAGCGAGTTTTACTGTAAAAACTAATTAAGGATTTGTGTATAACTACTTGAAAATGGGGAAATTTAAAAAAATATATTAATGGAAAATAATAAAATTTCTAGAACTTCGAGCAAACTAAGATCGAAAATCTGTTGAAGATTGCAGCAGGTCGAATCTTTTGCTTTTCGCTACATTCTGGACATTTAGACATTGATTTGATTGGTCAACTAAATTCATTCAAACTATTGTGAGGCTACAGTATGCAAAAGGCTAAGGAAAGAAGGAATATTGCACTAAAATAATGCTTAATATGAAAAACATTAATACGACCTGTTCAACTGATGAAACTATTAAAATATGCTGTTTGAAAATCGTCAGGCAAGTATTAGAGAGATGGCAAAAAGCCTGGACATCTCTCGCGAGTCCGTTAGAATGACTGTAGAGGGGATTTTGGGTACGCAGCGCATTCGTGCTCGACTCGTCCCGTAGCTGATTTTTTTTCAGAAAGAGGTTCTTTTGAACATTATAACTGCTGATGAGACATGGGTTTATGATTTTGACATACAAACAAGTCAACTATCATAGGAATGGAGGGAAAAAACGAGCCGAAACTGGGCCTGAATTTTTGGAAGTACAATTCATAGATTTTACGCTATGATTACGCAGCATCGCATGGAGTCACGACCGACCACCGTTTTCACCAAATTTGGCTCCGTGTGATTTTTGCTTGTTCTCCATGGAACCCGTTTTCAGTCGATAGAAAGATAAAAAAAAAAAAATCGCTGAAGAAGCCATCCCATAAAATGCTTATAAAAAGTGTTTTCATCTGTTTGGGGCTACTTAAGGCGACAAAGTAAATATTGATGAGTAATTAAATATTTTGCGTTTTATTTACAATTTACGGGGACTTTTTGTCAAAATGTATTATATCAGAAATCAAGCCATAAGCTTCGGCCCATGTGTCATCATTATCATTTCGTCGTTCAATGCGTGCCAAAGTGGATTTTTTGATCTTATGGGTATGTGTGGCAGCTCAAGAAGATCAAACCTGGCCAAAAGGTTTGAAACTAAGAAGAAATTCCTTAAAAAAACTGATAAGTTGTATGCATTTTGCTTAAAATATGAACCGAAATGAGATTATTAACTAGTTTTGAAGAATCCAACTCTTTATGAATCTGTTTCTTTATGGACATATCATATTCTAATTTATTGATTTTGTAAGAGCCAAGATATTGTTTAAGTAGGCATTGCATTAACCATATTAAGTTACATATTTTATTACAAATTATTAATATTTAATTTCTTGATATAATCAACGCTGTTAATATCGTCAACACATATTTTATTTTTTCCTTCATATGGTTTTTCATAAACGAGTGTCAATAGAACACTCAACTCAGATAAAATGGCAACACGTGATATTTATTATTGTATTTTGTACTTGCTTATGCTTCGCAACACTTAATTTGTTCTTCCGTTTTTAAATAATCTCGTTGAGATCGGAAAACTAATCTACTTTTCCCATTTATTCACACATACTTGGATGTTACTATTTATTTGTATGCACACGTTTTCACTTGGCGCGATATCTTTGCCGAATTCGGCATGGAACTGACCGACCAAAAACAAGTTCTTGTAAGGAACATTTTATACTTTTGAAGGGTACCGAAGTTACCGAGTTTTCTTGTTTTTAATATAATTACAATTCTATCCACAATAATTTTTCCTTTTTTCAGTTTTTTGCTGGCATTTAATTTAACGGTAATAACATGTTCTTAATTTCTTAATCGTTGTTATTAGCCACATGAATCTTATGTACGTACATAAATCAAACGGCCGTAAAAATCTGAAATCTGAATTTAATTGCCCACATCATGTCATACAATTGTATTCTTTGACTGTATAAATCAAAGGCAAAGCTTCAAGTCATTTTTTTTTTTGTTTTGAAAACCATATTTAAAACTTTGCAGATATGTCATATATTGTGTTATATACATAAGTGTATGTTTGTATGTACGTGGAGTGGACGTTTCGTTCATTATGCAAATGCTGTTACAAATTCACACGTTAATTTGGGAGTAGCCAGTAGCGCCGAGCACGCAACTCGCTTACATTGGCCAACAACGTTTCACAAATCATGTGGCATGCCACAAACTGGCCGCAAGGTATATGTGTCAATTCGAGTGGGGCCAACTATGCATAAAGTTATTAAGTCATTATGCTAACTAAGATTGAGGCTGTGCAGACAAGCTGGCAAGTGAATGCGGCCAAACAATCCCGAACACACGGCCATCTGCATATGAATGTGACGAGTTGTTGTTGCAGCGCGCTACAGTGAGTCGACGCGACGGCCCGCTGAGCATCATGCAGACGCTTTGTGCGCCGCGGATTAGCATAAATCATTTGGTCTATTTTTCAGCAGCACGCTGAGTGATGTTCAGCACTCCCAGCGAACAGCTGCGAACCTATATGGAGTTGTGAATGTGTTTTAAGCCTTTTGTTGGGTGGCAGCGAACCACATTATGGGGCGTCTCATCTCCATTTCGGCTCGCTCGCAATCGCGATCTCGGCAGTTGTGCACTCATTTGGCGTGGCTCTTTATTTGGTTATTTATTTCAATTCACTGATTCAAAATCGCGTTCATGCTTCGTCAACAACAACAATGCATACATAACTAATCATAAAATAATAAAAAAGAGTTGCTGCTTTACTGTGGCCCCTCAGCGCGGCTACCAGCAACCAGTTCAGGCCATTTATTGTTGGCCAGCGATCGCTGCGGTTTCTAACTGAGCTCATCGCGACTCATCCGTTCGGCGCGTTCTTCTCCAGCGCTCGCACATACATACAAACACCTGCATCTCGTTTTAATGCGTTGATTTATTTCATTTATTTATTATGTTATATTTGCTATGTTTCCCATTTTATTCATATTCCGCGCGTTCACAGCGCGTTTTTATTATTTTTGTTTTGATTTTTGCCTCTTCCTGATACAAGCTCCTACTAAGCGATGCGTCAGCTCACCGATGGCGTGTTTGTCAAGCCGTCGGCGGCGGCAGCGCGAGAATTGATGCTAACCCATCAAATGCACAGCAGGTGAAAACAGCTTACTTCCAAAATATGCTAATGTGCCGAGATAAATTATCCAATCACATTCTTAAACTGACGCGGTAGCGCGGACATCATGTGTACGATTATTTGGCTGCTGAAGCTGCCGCGAACGCTTAGTGTTTAATCGCCGAAAAGCGATTGCGCTTTGACACAGCCGCGGGTCAACTCTTCAGCCTCATAAAACAGTTTGAGCCGCCAACGAGCACCATCTACCACCACCTAAGTGCTGCGGTCAATGTGATAAAATTGTCACGCACTGCACGCCACACACAATTAAAAACCTCTTTAAGGACTTCGCACCAGCGGGATGCCACAGACACACTCAATCACAAAATAACAGTGGCAACAGTAAAACAGAAGTGGTATCACTAATAAAATTTAACCGTCAATTGCCGCTGAAGCTCATCATGAAGTTATTTACGTGAGACACACAGAAGAACAGTAGACTGTATTCAACGTACGCGCGTTCGATGAATGCGAATTAGCCGCGTCTACAAGCACACGACTAGTTTGCCGAAAGACAGTTCAGAAACACCTCTAAACAGTTCGAATGTCGTGCGGGAACTGACAACTGGGATCGAATGTTTTGGTCAGCAGGCAAACGCTAAGGCCGGATCAGTCGACTAGTTGGTTCGTTTGGCGGTTGTGCGTGTGTGTTTGCGTGCAACTTGGGCTCGAACGCGCGCTTAGAGTTCAAGTTCGAGTCATGCGCAGCGCACGAACTCACCTCTGAGCGCTCTATGCGCATGAGTGTGAGCAGGTGTGTGCGGTTGTTGGCAGGGGAGATGCGATTGCGCGCTTAGTTTGCGATAGTTGCAAGCGCGGATTCTGAATGGATTCTAATTGGCTATATATTTTTTTATTCGGGCCGTGAAGCCGATTGTGATGACTTTGTAATTAAGTGATGAGTAAGTGTTGACTAGTTGATTTGCTTCATCATTCCAGGCATCAAAACGGAAATACTCGGAATTAAGTCAAGGCAAAAGATGGTGCATTTCATTCGTTTAAATATCTATGTGTTCTTGGAGGGTAATTATAGTCGGCGGGAAATCCATCTAAATAGTTTTAGAAATTAGTATAATGATGTGTTGCGAGCTTTCTCCGATAATAAAAAACTTTTCCACTCGATTATGCAAATTTGACTAAAATCTTACCATTTAAAGGAAGTTTATAGCTGTCTACTTATTTCTGCCAAATTTATGAACTGATATAGCTCTTTCTGCCAGACTGAAGCCATCTTACAGCAGGTATTTGTCCGTTGTTGCCCTATATTCTGGAAATCTATCAAGAACAAGAAAAAGCCTTAACTTGTTATCGTGAAGCGTTAACAGTTTGTTTGGCAGCTATTAGTGATCTGATCGGAAGAATTTCGTGAAGATAGCGCATCAAATTCAAAAGCTTTCCAAACATGGAATTGATACCGAACGTTCAGTTTGTTTGACAAATATATGCTATAGTGGTCCGAGATTGTCCGAGTTGTTCCAACAAATAAGTAACTTCGTGGTGAAGAAGTCCTGAGCAAACCTACAGAGGGATATCTAAAAACTAAGGGACTAGTTTGCGTATATACATACAGATGGATAGGCGAACATGGCTATATCGTCTGAACTCATCATGATGCTGATCATTTATGTATGCATTTAGTAGGGTGTGCGACTTTTTCTTTGGTGCTTTACGAACTTCGTGTCAATTTTAATATGAAATGTTCAGAGTATAAAAACTCTGTATTTAATTGAATAAGAGCTTCCTGCAATTCCTACAATTCCATAGCCCCCTTTGCTTAATCAATATAATGGAATTTCAACATTCTACTACTGTGATCAAATTGGAAGATGAATTTTGTACATTTCATCTCCTTCAAAGTAATCTCCTCCCGTTACAATACACTTATGACAACGATCAACGGTCGTGATGATCATCAGAGTGCCCTTCGATTCAGCTTTTATATCCTCAACTCAATTGAGCCAGAATGGTGTCCTCGGAGTGGTCATGTGAATTTGCTGAATAGCCAGAAGTTGCGGCACGATATTAATTGAAAATGTGGCGAAATGATCACGAATAAACAATGCAGTATGCATTATCGCACTTCTTTGTTCAATAAATTCAAACATAATCGAAGAATACTCTTTTAGAGCCTAACAAATAGAAGCATATCTCAAAAACTAATGAATATTTTGATGTGAAATATAGCATAGATGTCACTTACACTTACAGAAAAAAAAGTTTCCGATTCGAAAAACACGCGAAGTATAAATTAAAAATTTCAATTTGATCACAATACTATATTGTTCGAGTAAAGTGAGGGTTGTACTTAAAAATTGAAAATTTTGACAACTTTTAAGGTGCCACTGCAGAATTTTTCACCCCCGAATGCAAAGTGGCTTGAAACTAGGTGAAAGCACGAAATATGCTACAAGCAAGTGTTTCAGACCTTTTGAGACCCCCTAATGGAGTCATCCCATATGATAAAATTTAATTTTTTTTATAATTTGCTTTCCTAACAAGTCTAGGAAACAGCAGGGAAGTGATTTCTTGAAATTCAAAGTCTTTTCAAAGATACAGCAGTTAGAAGTGCTGGTTTCGGCTGTTGGTTAAGCAAACTTGAAACTTTAAACACGATTTTCTCACAACTGTGTTTTTCATCGTATCTCAAAATGGCTTGACCGAACTACTTCAAATTTGTAGGGAACGCTCAGCGCGTGTAAACACGTGGCATAATCTATTATCAATCAAAAGTTAACAAAAAAAAGACAAGCTTGGTGCATGAAGGGTTCCAAGAACTGTCAATCTGAAATCCTCTGAAACTTCGATGGCATCTGTCTTCACAGATCAATCAATACAATACAAGCGGAATAAGTAAAGCTATAGATAAAGTATCTGCTTGAGTCATATTTTAAAATACCAAGAATCTGATATTGTCAGAGGTATATCAGTTATTCAGATGCAATTGAAACATCTTTGGAGCATTTATTTACAGGATCGATTGATACGACCATATAAAAAATATATAAATTAAAGTTGTTAACAAAAGCATTAAGAAATGGATAAAAGTAATGAAGACAATACAGAAACTAAATAAGAAATGTGAATTGTAGACTAAATTGACAAACAACAACACTTGAAGAAGTCACGGGAAGAAAGTGAGTTAATATTTGCAGTTTAGTTACAATCCAGAAAAAATTTCAGAACGCCAGTAGTAGACTTCAATATGAAATGATATATGTTTAGAAAGTGAATTGCATAAAAGATGAAAGGCAACAACTCAGGGGGCATCAGGACGAATTTCATTTCCACTTCCCTCATTTTCAATGATCAAAATCCTTTTGCTACTGAAATGGTGTGAAACTGTTGCTCTCAAATGACAGCCAACAAAAAGAATCGCGTCGAACCAGCACAACGAACATCAAACGACATCGAACCTGTTGCAACCAACCAATCCCTCAAAAGAAAAGTCAAATAAGATGAAATTAAATTGCTAAGAAGGATATAATTCACGGTATGCCAATGTCGCTTTTGTATGAAATTCTTTACTGGTGGATTTAAAAAAAGCTTGGAAGGCATTGTTGACCAGGTAGAAGAAGGCGTAAATACAAATCAACAATTGTATGTATGTATGTAGAATATGCGCTAAAAATGTACGTATTATTTGCTTTGTTGAGAATAGAGATCTCCAAACACAAATGCAACGACTTATTGTAATTAATTGCTGAGCTCACGGTACTCTCTATGCCTGATTGGGGCTAAACTGCTACTGTTTGATCTCTGATCTCCTTAATCACCGAAGCTCCGATTGAATGGCAAAACACAATGGCAGGCAAATTACCGGCGAAAAGTGAACTGAGATGAATAATGACAACACAAATACATAGATTGATAGATTATCACATACTCATACACAAACACATACATATGTAGCGAAAAAGTCGAGGTGGTGATGTGATATCGTATGCATTATGTGATGTCTGTGTGATTTGTGATGATTCCGGGTACGCTGAGCGTACGAGCGCGTTGTCGTTGCAGTGGACAGCAGACAATGATCAAAATAGTTGCAAGCAACAACAGCAACAACGCGTTGCAATGAAAAGCAGCAATTAAACTGCAGTTGATACCACATTCATAACCCGTGGGGAGTCGTCAAATGCAAACACACACAGCGAATAAAGTTGTTACCCGCTAACTTTTTTTTACACACACACATACACACAGAGGCACATAGCTTCACAATTTTATGATCAATTTGATTAATACTATTTACCAAAGATATTAACCATTTTTATATGACTTATTGCCCGCTAGTTCGGCTGCTCGTGCGTGGGTTCCCGAGGCGCGTTTGCAGACGCACATAGCCACTTTTAAGCGGCTTAAGTAGCCAGATGACAAATTGGCTCACAAAGCGCCGGCTATTGATGTGCGCAGATGTCTGGTTATTAATATTTATGTTTCTGTGCTTCTGTGATTATATGTGGCGGAGCTAATGATATTTCGGGGGCGCTCATGCCCGTTGTGCGACATCTTCACTGACGCGCCACGCGTGTGACGAAATCCAACCAGTTTTGTAGGGGCGCTGCTCAGCCGTCTACCAGTTTTCTAGCAGCTGACCAGTTATGGGCTTTTGTCGCGTTTATTGTTGTTTTCTCACAGCTTTTCTTCATCTTCTATTTTTGGTGTGCTTTATTTTCGTTTGTTATTGTTTTCCTTGTCTTCTAAAAATAATCGCCCATTTTAATTTTGAATTTTTTTTTCTTTTTTGGGCAGTCAGATTTACGAGCTTAACTGGTGACGACTTTCTTTTACATAGCCATTGTTATTCGTGATTTAATTTATTGAGCTTCTTGCGATTAGCTGTGTTTTTATACCCAATGTCTGACATTCTTTTTTGGTTTAGTATAGCTTTGTCTTTTTCAAAATTTATTCAGTCACATGTAGCAGGTTACCGATATTTTTATGCTGGCACACAACCTGTTGTATAAGAAACCCAGGATTGTCTTATAACTGTTATTTACATGCTGTAGAGAATTTCGTTGGCTGCAGACTGACATTCGGGTACATATGTATTTTCCGACATATATGTGACCAAATGTTGGGGATGCTGTGGAATAGTTACAAAGAAAATATTTCACTGGTGCTAATTGTAATTATGGATAATTAGTTGTATATTGGCCCCGTACACTTAATCTCTACCAACCGACTCATCTCACTACCGAGATGACGACAGTATCATCAACCTTGAGGATAAAGTTGGGTCAACTGCTCTCTTGTAAAAAAATGTTCAATGCACCAGTTTTTGATTTGCATACAATAATTTTAGATTTTTGCACCCCGATCATGTTATATTAAGTTCGCCATGAAGTTTGTAACACCTAGAAGAAAATATCGGAGACCCTATAAAGTATATATATAAATGATCAGCGTAACATTCATTTCATTCATATTTTTTCTGAATTTTTGAGCACGTCCTTCTTTTGTTTAGAAGCTTCATATAGTTGCCGTATAAACTGAATCAAGTCATTGTATGGCCAACTTTTTTATCTGACGAGGTATCTTCAGGTA